GAAAAATTAAGGAATGTAAGATTTTCACCGACTTCTTCATAAACACATTTTCGCCATAAAGTCCAATATTAACGTATTTCTTAGCGAATGGGACTCGTCTAATTTTCTTAAAACTGACTAAAACTAAAACGTATCTTATGTGGTATGGCTATCGGTTCTACGATGATAGCGAAGGTTCATATGAAACCGAGAGTAGCCATTACCATAAAACAGTTATGATTTTTAGGTCTCTAACATGGATGAACCTATTTTTCTTGTGTAGGTCCTTCATGCTTTTTCGAACAATTACGTGTGATAAAAAGCATTTTTCCAAAAATGTTTCTTTCAAAATCAGGATGCATCTCATGGGTCTGTGAAACAGAACCCAGACTTTAACTGTGGTGTTTTGCATAAAAACTTTCGAATACCAAGTAGTATATCAGATTATTATTTAGATAAATCTTTCACTTAGAAAGTAATTATTTACAAAATAATGGCTTTGAAAACTGCGGCACAAATTAAAAAATTATTTTTGAAGTTTAGAAAGGTAGAACAAAAAACGCTTGATTGAAATTATTGAAACAGCTATTAAATTACATATTGAGAATTCATTAGTAGCATAAAGCAAACAAATACTGTAGAGTTAATAATGAAATCGTTCGATCATGCACGAGTTTCTTCCCCCCAAAAGGAACCCATTAAGTTAAAAAAGATGTCGATAGATCAGATTATAGTGCATTGATCCTCTAATCTGTAGTGGGTCATTTTTGGCGGTTAGATCTCGTGCCGATTTGTCATACTGAACTGCTAACAACTGAGAGGGCCAAGGCCAAATACAGCTGTATTATACACTTGCATCAGACAACCTGACCGCCTTTTCCGCCCATTATGGTATGGCCACACTGGAACACCGTGCTGTTTCTGTTGTTCGCAAGTCAATGACCTGCTACCCATTCCTCGACTGGTCGCATCAAAGCAATGTGAAGTTAAATTTTGCTCAAAGGAATTCATTGTCATGGTAAAGATCGTTCCTTCAGCGGATTCGAATTCGGAAACTCGGGAATTC